AGCAGAGGGTGGGGTGGGAACCGGGTGGAGGGGAGCTATGGGGGGGAAAAAGAGGAACAACTGTAATAATCTGAACAATAAAGATTTAATAAAAAAATTTTTTCTCAAAAAAGAGAGTGAGTTTGCTCTTTTCTTATAAATGAGTGTAATATTACAGTATTTAAACAGTATGTGAAGAAAAGGATGAAAGTTACCGTTATTGCAAGTGTTATTACTAGTTTCAGAGTTACAGTTTATAAAAGTTACAAATTATGTCTGAGAAGGAATACAGTTATGTTTTGTTTTCTCTCTTCCTTTTGTTTTCTTATTTTTCTAGAAAAAGCATACTTTTTTCCCCTAAAAAATACACTCTATTCTTGAATTTAGGGTCTCTTTCTCAATATGTGCCCTTCTCCCGTTACTTTGCAGTTACGGAGACTAAGCTGACTAACTTAGAGAGAGAGCTGAGGAGCCTGGAGGCAGTACTGGACCGCATCAAAAAATGTAAGCCTCTTCCTGCCCCACTGGGTTCCCGCTCTCTCCTTGTCCTTGAGCGCTCTGGGTTTTCAGGAGGTGGAATAGAACTAACAGTTGTGAACACGGATTATATACCAGGGTCTGTGCTAGGTTGGCATTTTCTCATAATATGGTTTCATTCTGTCCTCTCAATGCTGCTGTTTGTGAGCAATATGCTTATTTAACTTACAAGTTAAACGAAATAGGTCCAGGATTTACAGTTAATTCATTCAGCACCACCCAGGTGGGAAGCAGCAAAGAAAAGCTTGCATGGAGGTCTGCTGCCTTCAAATCCTTTCTCCTTCCTCAGCACCCACTGTTCTCAGATGGCTGTCCCTGCCCCTTTCTATCCTGGGGTCCAAGCCTGGCAGCAGTGCCCACACCTGTCTCCCTGTCCACCTGCACTGGGGCAGTTTGTGCCGGTGGACTGTCTCCAGGACAGGCTCCCCCTAGAGAGGCGGGGCTCTGCCAGGGCCTTCCCTACCCTGAGGAGCTCCCCCTCACTAGGACCTGACCTGAGGGGCTTGCACATGGGCTCCTTTTCAGAGTCCTGCCTCCCCAACAAGGGCGTGGTCACCTACTGGCCTGGGCTCCAGGCCGAGTCAATCCCACCCATCCTTTGTGATTTCAGTGCAAACCTTCTCCTTGGGCAAGAGATCTGGAAAGAAGCTCCATGTGACCAACGGTGAAAAGATGCCTTTTTCCAAAGTGAAGGCTCTGTGTGCTGAGCTCCAGGCCACCGTGGCCACCCCCAAGAACGCCGAGGAGAACAAAGCCATCATGGACTTGGCCAATGACCATGCCTTCCTGGGCATCACAGATGAAGCGACCGAAGGCCAGTTTGTGTATGTGACAGGAGGGAGGCTGACCTATAGCAACTGGAAGAAGGATGAGCCTAATGACTTTGGCTCAGGGGGGAATGTGTGTGCCTTCAGGAGGATGGGCTCTGGAATGACATCCCCTGCTCTTCCTCCTTTGTGGCCGTCTATGAATTCCCAGCCTGAAGAGGCAGTTCCTCAGCCCCTCCTTGGCTCTGCTGAGCTCTCTGCTGCCCTAAAAGAAAATTCAGTGATGTTTTAATCATGCCCAGTGTTGACTCATTCTTTGGTGGGGGTGGAAGGAAAATGAAGGGATGGATTTGATTATGGGATTAGGGAGTAAAAAGAGGCTGACATGAGGGTTTCTGTTCCAGTTCTTGGCAGAAGACACCCTCTGTCTTGCCTAAGAGCATAGAACTGGGTCACGGTCAAACCATGGAAAGGGCCCAGTCTAGCCCTGTCCTTTCTCAGCGAGGACACTGCGGCCCTCCACAGGGACCCATGGAGGGCCACATCTGTGTCAGTCAGCAGCAGATCTCAGCCTCCAAGAGATCTAATTCCTTTTGTTGAAGTGCTGCCACCACTTGAAACACTTGATCTCTCCCCATGGCTAGCCCAGTCCTATCTGTGACATGGATATGTCTTTAGTAGCTCATGTGCTGCACCAGAAAACCCTTCACCTACTGTAACACCTCGCAATATCCAATGTCCATAATAGAAGTCCAAACCTTTAGAGAATGTTTATAAAAGTTTATTTGAACCAAACAGAAGTTACACCTGGAAGCCAGACCACTGCCTGAGAAAATGCTTCTCAGAATGACAGTTTGTACCTTCCTTTGTGGACTTGGAAGTGAGGAGGGAACTAAGGGAGAAAACTGAAGGTGGAGGAAAGCCAGGCAGGAAATGGATTGCAGGGTAGGAAACAAGATTCCGTGCTCACTTGAGGGTGGTTTCTCTTGAGGCATCTGCAAAGAGGCAGTTCAAAGGTGTGTTAACCCTTTCACTAAAAACACTAGATGCCTGGAGTGTGACTATTCACTGTGACCTGCCCAGTTAGAAATCTGTGATCAGATCACCCTGTGAGGTTACGTTCCCTGGAACCCCTTTTGCTTCCTCACTAACAAGGTAACATGATTAGTCCCAGGAATCCCCAAGTGGCTGTGGCCTCCTTAGAGTCACCAGGGCAATCTTGAGGACAAAGGACAGCCTTTCCTCCCAGCATACTTTTAGGACTGATTTGATATGGCCCATGCCAGCATCACTGAGGGGGGCAAAAGGTCAGGCAGACTCCTGACCTCCCTCTTCACAGGGCACTATCAGTCTCAGTCTGTCTGTGTTCAGTGTTCCCTCCCTACGGGGACATCCTCATCCCATTATAGGTCAATGTGTCCACTATTAGTAGACACAAGAGGAGAAACTTCCCAATGGTGAGCTTCACACCCTGTGGGTCAAATTCAGCGTCAACCAGTAGGCAGACCAAACCCCCTCTGAGCAGGATTCTGATGCTGTGGGCGCACAATCCTGCTCATGACCATGCATGTTTGTAGCAATCTCAGGGTCGGTGGAGCTGAGAAGCTGCAGAATCCATGCAGCAAACTGGGGAGAGAGTGAATTGCAGCTCCAATTAGAGGCCATTCACCAAATAAGATTGAAATACAGTTCATGAATGTGCCAATGACCACTTAATAAAATGTTTATATTAAAATTAGTTTTCTACTCTATTTTTCTTTGTGTCTGAACTACCAGAGAGAGCACCATAAACTTAGGACATGCTGGATGAGTATTTGTTGAATGGGTATATCCCAAAAAGTTACCACAGGGATGCATGGATCAGATCTGACAAATGAATGTAGGGAGAGGCCTCTCCCAGGTGCCTCCTCCTGCAGGACTGTAGCAGGGGTGAGAGGTGGCCCGAGAAATGCTGAAGGCTGGCAAAGTAGGGGTGACAGGGCAGGACCTGGCCTCTAGCACACCTAGGCTGTCACATCACTGTGTTTTCAATCCCAGGAGACTCTCCTTCAGGCACTGCACCTGGGGGCAATGCCAAGAGTAATTCCATGATGTTGAGCAGAACAATTCTCTATTTTCAATTAAAGTCCATTCTGCTTACCAGAGGAGTGGAGACTACTTCAAGTTTAGAGGTACCTATAAAACCAATCATTAAGGCAAATAGAAAAAGGAAAGAACAGAAACTATTAAGAAGAAAGATACACATACAATGACTCAGCAATGAAGATTTTTGCAACCAAGGACGAAAGTTAAGGCCTAGATTTTCTCACAGAGAAGAAAACAAGGAGAAAACGAAGAGGTAACCATTATATAATTATTTCTATTTTCTGTAAGTGGCGGTGGGGTAGTGTTCTACCTTGAGGTGAATGTGTTCATGTTTATACTGTGCATAAAGGACAGTATCTTTAGATATAACATTGTAGAAGACAGTCATGTACTTTACATGGATTGTTTCCCCATATGTAGTGGTCGCCCCCTAGTCAGAGAAACAGTAAAAATCTACAGGACAAGCTCAAATTCTTCCATTCCCCTTCCTGCCTTCTGCTCTGCCTGTTCTTCCCTTGAACTCGCACCTGATACTCTGTTCAGAGCTCCTCTCTCTAAATGCATCTACCTGTCACCATTCTGCCTCGATCTAGGATTGAGGCCACCACCTCCCTGAAATTCACTTTTCAATTCTTATCAACAATAGGGGGACCCATCTTGTGAAGGTGGCATAAATCTAAAGATACAGGATTCTCATGAGGGTCTAAAGATAGTAACTGCAGTTCATCCAGGCTTCCCAGGACCTGGAACAACAGGGACATATGGATTCAAGGAAACTCTCCAGACAGCCTCTCTCACTTCCTCGCAGGCTAAGGGCAGGCAGTTCCCTTCACCCAGGGATATAGGATGACGACATTTCTTGCACAGGGGACCTAATGAAACCAGGGGCTCCAAGGACAGGCCTTTGGGCCTTAAGCAGCACATTCCCCTTGGACGTCAGGAATGGGGAGGACTGAGCAACCTCTTGAGCCCCGCTGTTTGCTGTATCTCTCCCCAGGCTGGCTTTTGGAACAAGAAATGGCAGGCCTATATGAGCTGCAGTTTTCTCTGCTGCCTCTTGCAAAGAGTGAGAACCTGAAGGTCATGGCTCAGCGCATTCCATTACAGGAGGCTGGTGCTGAGACCTCTGTGGAGCCTGGGCTCTGACTCCAGGGTTGTGCCCAAGGGAGAACCAGGCCTGGGTGTCTGTGCCATGTTGAGGCTGGAGGAGAGGCAGTAGGTTGGTGGGAAATGCAAGGTTGGCAAGCATCTCCCTGCCTAATGCACTGAGTGGCATGTGAGCTCCCTGGGCCTCAATCTCTATCTAAATTGCTCTGTCAAGGCTTCTCCCTGCTAAAGCTGGAGGAGTCAATGGTCACACAGATTCAGATCCGTGGGGCCCATTTCAGGAGCAAACACTGCAGGATCTCAGAACTTTTCAGTCTTTGTTACCTGCCATTTTGTCCAAAGTCATTGTGGCCTGAACACGGATCACCTGTTTCTCAAGTCCATAGAAAGCCAGACCGAGAAAGTTAGAATGGCGAGTCCACCTTGCTCTCAAGATGGGAACCTTGAATTTAAACTATATGTAAGTCAACGGTCTCCTGAGGAAGTTTAGACCCAGCCAGTGTGATTTGCTTCCACAACAAGAGGTGAAACAGCTACCAAAGCTTGCAGTGTTCAAGGCCCGGCTCCAGCTGGCTCTGCTTCTAGAATTGCAGGGCCTCATTCCTGCAGGATCATCTTTCTGTGGAGCCCTAGGGCTCTGCTGTTCTCACTCTCAGCCATTCCCACGCCAGAGGATGGGGACGTGGGGTACTGGCTAATGGCCTAGCATTTGCATTCCTCAGCCCTCCTTTGTGCCCCAGGCCACCTGCTTCCCTCTGTGTGGCCCTCAGAGATCCACCTGTGCGGGTCACAGTCAGAGCTGGACTTGTATTTGCAGGTGGCAGAGGGCCTCTGACCTGGAAGGTTGTTTGTCATAATTGTGTAACTGACCTGTGCATTAGAATTTGCCAAGAATCAGGAATTCATACCCATTAACCAGGAAGTGACCGAATGTCAACATGGGGATGTTGGGAAGTGAACTTTGCAAAGTGATGTTGTCTTTGTAACCCTGAGTGCCACCTCATGTGGCTCTTCAGAGGAGTGCCAGCAGAGCTACCTGGAAGGCTTGGCAGAGTCATAGGGTCAAGTTGGTTCCACTCTGGTCCCAGTGCATCAAAAGCTCAGTACTTCACTGTTGTGAGGTCCCTAGGCGATCCAGATGTTTGGCCAGTTTTGGAAACCACTGCTCAAGGAAATACAACCATCCTAGCAGCTCTCTGCCTCCCTTTTACCTCCACAAGGAGAACCAGAAGCCGTGGGGCCAGGGCTTCTACATCCGTGTAGCCCTTTAGAATCTCCTTCAACTGCTCATGTCCCACGAGTAAAACACAACTGCTGACCCAAATCCTTCCCTCTGCATTTCCAGGGTCTGACTGCCTCCTGGCTTCAGGCAATGGGCTTGGGTCTGGAACATCTCTGCCGAATGTGGGAGAAGGTGAGGCACTGTGCAGGTGCACCCCTGAGTGGGGAATTGTGTGCACATGAATTTGGGGTCTTTGTGCATGTGTGAGTGTGTGAGTTTCTGTATAGAAACCAGGAGACCCAGTGCTTGAAATTCCCAGCATCCTGCTGTTATTAGCCTCAGGCCCTACCTCCCACCCCCCACCCCCAGCCTATATCCAGGTGCCTTACTATGCACACCCCTCACGGAGCAGCATTGGCTTGGGTTGGTGTCAGGGGCTCTGAGTGAGGTACATGCATGGTTGGTCATGGACAAAGTCTCCACAGATGCCCTTGAGCTGAGCACCAGGACCCCTGGGCTCAACAGAGATTGTGTGGGTGATAACATGATCCCCCTCCTGCAGGTTCTGGCTCTTATTGTCACCATTGACCTCCCCTTCAAAGCCTTTGTCTGACCATTGGATGTAAGGCTACTCCAACCCCAGTCCCCATTACAACACCCAGGTTTATTTTCTTATTGGTAGTTGTGGACATCTGAAATCATCCTAACCATTTACTTGTTGGATTTTGTCAGTGTAGCAAAGTCATTAAAAGGACGCTGGAGCCCTAGCTGGTTTGGCTCAGTGGATAGAGTGTTGGCCTGCAGAGAGAAGGGTTCAAGGTTCCATTCCAGTCAAGGGCACATGCCTGGGTTGCAGGCTTGATTCCCTGTGGGGAGCATGCAGAAGGCAGCCAATCAATGATTCTCTCTCATCACTGATGTTTCTATCTCTCTCTCCTTTTCCCTTCCTCTCTGAAATCAATCAAAATATATATATATATATTTTTAAAAGAGGACACTGGAGCCAGACTAGACTGCCTGTGTTCACACCCCATGCAGCTGAGGTCCTGAGCAAGTCACACACACTCTGGGCATTGGTTCTCTTCTTGGTAAACATGGGCTATGAATAGTGCCCCCCTCACAGGGCTGTGAGGAGTAAATGGACTGGCACAAGTAAGGCAGCCAGAAGAGCAAAGGCCCTGATGAATGCCGTGCAAGCATTCCTTCTTGGTGTTACTGTGATTAGTATGATCACCTGAGTCATACAATGAAGTCCCAGGGCCTATAATAGGGCTGGGGACCACCTCACTCTCAATAACTGTTGAGTGAATAAATGAATAAACAAATAAACGAAGGAACTGCAGTCCTTCCCAAAAATGTGTGACCCCACAACTTCTCTGGAGCTTGACTCAGCTCCAAGCTGGAACCAAGAGGGAAGCTGTGAGACTTATTTTGGAATATGGCTCTGGGCACAGCTTCCTTTCTTGGGTAATTGGGCTTAGCTGGGCAGCAGGAGCAGTGGCTTCATGCTGCCCTCTGCTGGTGTCTCTAAGACAGGGCTAGCAAACTCAGTGGCCAACATTGGAGGTCAGGTGAGAGGTGGGGCCCCGGTCTGCATCTTCAGATGTTTCTGCTTTCTTCCCTTCTGCCCTGATTTCTATGCCCAGTTAGAATGCATTTCCTAAATGCCCCTCGCTGTAGGGCCAGATCCAGACACACTCTCCTACTGGGTGACTCCTGGGGTCTTTCCCACATGTACAAGGGTTCAGGATTCTGGAAAAGGGGCTGTGCATAAATGAATGAAGAGACTATAGAAGAAATATGAATTTGGAAGGCATTTTGGGGTGCCAGAGGGAAACTTACTTCTAGTGATTAAGCTCTGTGGACCCCTGGCTTTTTATTCCCACATTTTGCCCTATAGCAAAGCACATATACATATCAAAGGTAAGGTTTGGTAAATAATAAAGTATTATCAGGTTAGGGCAGTGGTCGGCAAACCGAGGCTCGCGAACAACATGCGGCTCTTTGGCCCCTTGGGTGTGGCTCTTCCACAAAATACCACGTGCGGGCGCCCACATACAGTGTGATTGAAACTTCGTGGCCCATGCGCAGAAGTCGGTTTTCGGCCTGGGCGAGTCTATTTTGAAGAAGTGGCCTTAGAAGAAGTGGGGGGTGTTGGTTGGTCGGGCGACGGGAGACTCCGCACAGGAGGGCCACAAGATACGCAGTGCAGGGGAGGCGCCAAATAAAAACAGTACTTAAACTATATAGGTAGGTTAATAACAATGTACCTACCTATATAGTTTAAGTTTAAAAAATTTGGCTCTCAAAAGAAATTTCAATCATTGTACTGTTTATATTTGGCTCTGTTGACTAATGAGTTTGCCGACAACTGAGTTAGGGGAATTGCCCTCAGCTGCCTGGCAGAAGGCAATAATATATGCAGATCTTCAGCCCTGCTGAATATAGAAGCCCATCAACCTTTTGAGGACTTGTCACATTTATTATGACCTGCTGAACTTAGCCCCCAGCATATCCCCCTTCTTTGATTTAATAAATTTAAAAATCAGAAGCAGTAGCCCTATAAATTGCTTGGTGTAAAAAAGAAAGAAAATTGTCTTAAAACACACACACACACACACACACACACACACACACACACACACACACAAAATCAATCACACTCATGTCCTTTTAAATTGCTGCCAAGCATTAAAGGAATCAGTCTGCAGTAAACTCCTTTCTGAGCCAACAGTTCTTTGAGTCCCCTCTCCAATCACCGTCCAACAGTTTTCCATGGGTTCCCTTCTCAATTAGTGTCCCTTGAGACATGACAGCAATGATATTCCAGTTCTGGATGGTGGAGAAACGGTGAGCAATGTCAATGCAGGTCCGAACTTCTTTGGCTTTGTCCTGGGCAACCTGCAGCGACGCACAGCTGATGTCTGCTAGCATGGCAAGGCGTCTTTACCGTCCCCCATCTCTGCACGTTTTCTCCTCAGTCTCCTCAGCGTGTTGCTTGGGGCCTCCGCCATCTGTGGCTGGAGTAGTCTGGTCAGTTCCTCTCTCGGATCCATTGTTCCAGAAATCCACACGGGCTTGTAGGAGTTTTCTGGAAATATGCAAACATATTCCTTAGCCAAAGGTTAATAAAGGAATCCTTTCTATAAACTAGATTCGGGATATTTTCATTTTTCCAAACTATTTTCCTTTGGCTTATTCTGACACCATGTGTGTCTTGCGATCAGCATTACAAGTGAAAAAATTTTTAAGTAAAAAAAAAAATTTTTTTTAAGTAATTAAGGCTTGATGTAATTTACTTAAGGAGATTACTATCTCCCCTTTTTTATTTAAATAATATTAAGAAGCTTTTGGAAACCTTGCAATGCAGCCTTGATAGCTTTTAATTTAATTCTTTGCACAGAAATATGACTTCTCTGGATTCATTGCAAGATAAACAGTTTTTACCATGAGATGAAGTATCAGCAAAAAATTAGTGAAAGCTCCAGGAATAGGTTCCTGCCTAGTATAACAAAGTTCCCCTGAATATATACTTATTTCAGTTTGCCAATTTAAATCAGTCAGAAATAAGGCTTATTTTCTAACTTTGTTTGTCCTTGGGTGTGGACAGTAAATAACACTAATTGAATTTCTGCTACTAGTCTTTGAGTATACCCACATAAGCTTTGTTTAGGGAGGTACGATGCAAATTATTTACTTTTCTTTTTAAGGCCTAATACATTAACTTTTAACTACAGTTTTCCAGACACTTGAAGGAAATCACCTTTCATTTCTTCCTGGGGTAATTTCTAGGCCACCTTTAGAGAGATTCTTTTTAAAAAACTTTCTTCTCCTCTTTTAAACCAAGTAACATGCATTGGTGTTTTCCAGATGCTGACAGCCCGCATACATTTCAAGCGACTCTCTTTTTATTTATGGTGACTACTAATGATCAGATTTAATGCCTGAATAATAACCTTCAGTTTACCCTGTAAATAATAGCAGAAGAGATTTAAAAATTTCTCCTTTTATAAAGCTTAAAATTTTACTTTAAAACAGCATTCTTTTCAGCTAGTACTCATTTGCATACACAGAGGGATTATGGGAGGTCTCAGTAACTTTCAGAGGACTTTACTAGAATTAATTGTTTAACATGTTGGCTTCTCATATAACTGAATTTATATGATTTCTTGATTATATTGTAGAAAGCTAATTTACTAAGTAATTAAAGTAGGCATCTTTATTGAAAAAGCAAAGTAAGCAAACTTATATATTTGATCTAGGAGGTACAAATGCTGTCCCCTCCCCCAGCCTATCTGAAAGGCAGGCTACCTGAGGGTTATTGCTTGCTTTTGTTTTTAAAATTCCAATGCTGAAGAAATATTTAGCAATCCTGCCTTGCCTGCCCTTACAGGTTAAAACATTTAAAAAATACGTATATAAATAAAATATAGTTATTAATTTTTATTGGATAAAGCTTTCCACATGATTTCAAGTATATTAAATTGGCCTAATTCAAAATTATTTCTTTTAAGAAGAGAGAATAAATTCTTGAACCACTCCGAGCCCTTGGAAATGTTCCAAAATTATCTTTCAATTAAAGTCTTGAAATGTAACTTG